GATTTCTTGTTTTATTAAATTTTTTTTTTTCCACTTGTATAAACCGACTTTGTGGGTCCAAACTATGCAACCGTCCTTCTAAACCCCATACCATACCCATTTTCATTGACTATTGTGGCCCTATCTTCAATTTATGAGATTTAAAAAATCAAATTTTCCATAATTTTAAAAGTAATCTTGAATTTTCTACCGCTGACGGATATTAGTCATCTAGGCTTTGTTTGGTGGCTTGATCAGAACATGATTAGAATTGAGTTTAAGCCAGCTCTTATAAGTTGTAATTCTATAGATGAGGCTTGTATGTATAAATCACAACCCTCTAGACGATACTTGTATTGTAAGGCGTAATATGTTGGATTATTGTTCAATTTAGTAAGTTTATCAAACAAAGATCAAGACATTAGTCAAATTTAATCGAAATAGTCCATCCATCCATGCCAAACCACCAAACGATGTTATAATGTCTAAGTATGAAACTAAGAGTATATTTGGTGATACTTCCCAATGTTTGGTTAACTAGTCAGTTTTCTTTATAAAGCGTAAGATAAATTTGAAAGGAATATAGTAAGTAATTTTCTTTATTAGGCGTGTAATCTTTTTGATTTGTTCTAAATATCTGGCAATCAATCAAGGAAACAAGGATGGGATGGGGTTTTAGAAGTGTCAAATTCTCTCTCTCTCTCTCAATTATATAAAATAGAATAGAGCCAACCTCTGTTTTCTATCCCCAAATAATACCAAAAGCAAACAATCTTTGTTTCAGTTGTAGACAAAGCTTCCCTGCCCTTATCAGCTTATCCACATAATTCAATGCTTTTTAACTTTTCATGTTTTTTACCTTGAAAAAAAAGCCATATGGGGTCGGGGGTCGACTGCACATTGCAGCAGAAGCAGAAGCACACAGATTTTTGTTAACTTGGGCTACAGAAAAGCCAATTACAGATCTTTCTTCATATAATTATATATATATCCGCTAAACCCAGCGGCTCCACTTGACCATATAATCATTGTTATTCCTCTCTTTTCCTTTGTTGTTTCCAGTGGATCAAGGCCGGCTAGTTCCATTGAGAGAACCTTGTAAAATTCATGTCCTCTGCATGTGTAAAAATTTAACATACCGGTCCTTCTTTCTCTCATTTTCTTTCATTTTATAACTTTCACTTCTGTCTTGAACCTCTTGGTCTTGAATGCAGTATTTGTCTGGTGATAAACTAGGGCCATATTTAATCTTGACTGCATGATTCCTACTTGAGATTTCTAATTAGGTTCTGTTTTTATCTTTCTTGACTTATGTATGGTTTATTGATAATTTTTCTACAGTCAGTTGAGGCTCCAATGGAACCACTAGACTTCTTACCTGGCAACCATCTACAAGCTGAAAGTCAAAGCAACAACCCATTGCCTGCTCCTCCAGCTTTGGATGAAGAATGTGAATCAATGGATTCTACCAACTCAGATGGAGAACCTGCCCCTCCACAGCCTGATAGCTCACAGTCATTTTACCCAATGATATATCCTGCATATTTCTCACCTTTCCCAGTTCCTTTTCCATTGTGGCCTGGATACAGTACCGAGCCCACTAAGCAGGATAAACATGAGGTTCTCAAGCCAACGGCAGTACATTCAAAGAGCCCGATTAATGTTGATGAGCTAGTAGGCATGTCAAAACTGAGCTTAGGAGAGCCTATAGGTCATTCCGGCCCCTCCTCGCTTACACTAAAGCTAGTTGAAGGGTCTTCTAGGCAGTCGGCTTTCCATGCAAATCCAGGCTCTGGAAGTTCTGGCATGAATTCAGGTGGTAGTCCCATCCATGCAGTTTAGTGGTTAGACATGCCTTGGAATTTTACAGGTTAATGTTAATACAAGGCTAGAAATGTGCATTCTGGTTTGGGTTTGAGTTGCATCTCATTATGGAATAACCTTAATAATGTTTTTTTAATAGTAGTTATAATCTATAATTTGGTCTTAGGTTTTAGGCTGTACCATCTCTTGCCCAAATTATTTAAATCTTTGACATCTTGTGTTGGCGTCTAGAATTGTTTGGTTTTTGTCCTCCCAGCGTCGATCATGTAGACATTCTAAAGTCGGGCAACCGCCGTACTTGTAGAATCGCTATTCACCCAACACTCACGCAATCACTCTCTCTCTCCCCGTCTCTCTCTCTCTTCATCATCATCCAACAACCTCATATCAGAAGTTGTCTCTCTCTCTTCATCATCATCCAACAACCTCATATCAGAAGCCAAAGAACCCAAAAAAAGAAAAGAGAAAAAAAAAATACCCCAGAATTAATATAAAACATTCCCCTTTCTGCAAAAAGAGAGCTGGATCATCAGAAAAACAGAGCAAATTAAAACAAAACATAAATGAGACCGCCACCACCGCCAAGAAGATCACTGGAGCTATCAGCAGCATCCCAAGTAGCTGAATTTGGCCTCGTCCACCTCTCTCCGTCGCTATCCTCCCCTCCCCCCACCAGACAAACGACATGCGTTTCGCACACCTGCCGCTGGTGGCCCTACTCTGGCTCCAAAGAGTTCGAGGCCAACGCGGCCATGGTCATCATCATCCTCCTCTCCGCCCTCATTTGTGCTTTGGGCCTCAACGCCGCCATCCGCTGCTTCCTCCGCGGCGGCGGGAGCGACGACAACAACAGCCCACGAGGCAACGACGATAACAGTCATCTTCCGCAGACCCAGCAAGAAATGGTTCAAGCTCAGCAGAAGAGCAATGTGGCGGGAGTTTCGTGCCTGGAGGGGGCGCCGGAGATGTTCTATTCGGCGGAGATGAAGGCGAGGCTGGCTGGGGAGGAGGCGGAGTGCGCCATTTGCTTGTCGGAGTTTGTGGAGGGGGAAGGGATCAGAGTGCTGGGGAGGTGCAAACATGGATTCCATACTCACTGCATACAGGAGTGGCTGTCTTCACACTCCTCTTGTCCCACGTGCCGCCGCACGTGCCTTCCTCCATCGCCGCTTCCATCGCCACCACAACCCACCACGGACAATAGTTCCCAGCAAATTCCCGCGCCGGAAAGCGATCCATAGAGCTAGCCACTGTACACAACATGTATGCAACTAGTAATTTCGAATTCGAGTTGGAAGTTTTTTCAGTTATTTAATTGTTGCCATAATAACTTAATTTAATTAATTTGGTACTAATTAATCACTAAGCAAAAATTATCAAAACCCTTTTAGCTAATAGACAAACCAGCATAGTAAGTAGATCATTTTACTTATCTGCAGCTGTAAAAATAACCGTCCAGGTTCATTCGACTTTTACTGAACATGCATTTGGCCTCTTGTCTTACTGGCCAACTGCTGAATGCTGATCCATGCAAACAGATAGGAAGTTCAGTGTGTGCCTGTATAACTTATGGGGTTGGATTGATAACGTTTCTCTTTCCAGCCGTTTCGAACTGCCAGCCAGAACTTGCAACGTAATTTCATAACCGAAGCGTAATGCTAGAATCAATCGTGCACGCTGCTTGGGTCGGTCAGTCATGAAGCACGTCAAGCATGTCAAGCACTTCGCTTTGCGCAACTGACCGTAACATCCCACAGTGCTTATGTCGTAATACTTTTTTTTGGTTGGTTGAAGATAAGACTCGATACATAGGTAAGATATGGAAGAATAACATTCAGCTGACGAAACTATGCAGACATTAGGGGAGGGCAAAATGCAGTTTATGCAGCCAATTTCACTCATTTCCCAACCAAAAATACGATATTGATAAATTACAGCAGCCAAAACAACAACATTACTCGCTATTATATTCTATTTATTTCAACCACCGAGAAAACCACATAAACAATGTGTACAGAACAACTACAATACTGATTTGATTCAAGAACTAGTGTTGCTACTATCAAGTATACATATGACACGGCAAATAGAGAACTGAAGCAAGATGACAAACAGACCAAGCTCACACCACTAAAACATCTGACAAACAATCCAAAACCACAGAGTCCAAGGGGAAGAGACAATACAATCACATGTCTAGAAGCAGAGAACTGAAGCAAGATGACAAACAGACCAAGCTCACACCACTAAAACATCTGACAAACAATCCAAAACCAGAGAGTCCAAGGGGAAGAGACAATACAATCACATGTCTAGAAGCACTTTCTGTGAACGATGGATGGCCCTGATTCATCGTACTCTGACTTAGATATCCACATCTGCATTCAAGCAAAACAATAACCAGACATTATAATCATAGAATCATATTGCCGTAGTAGAAATACTACAAGAATGGATAATAAAAAAAATGAAGAGTTGCCCATCATGATAATCATTTCAACGCATCAAAATCCAAAAACAAAATAACAAGAAAAGAGGAAAAGTTTCGCAACAATCCGAAAGTACTAAACTTTTAGAAGTTTATTTGGGAGAAAAAGAAGAAGAAAGATTTCACATATTTTTCTAGCTTTCTAAGCATAAATTCATAAGCTTTTTCATAGTAAATTAAGAATTCACTATCACCATTTTTTTTTTTTTCTATGATCAATAGAAATGAAGGGAAAATCAAGTATAAATTACTGTCATAGGAGAAGCAGTGTAACCGATACCTGCTGGAATGTGCTCAGTGAAGCTAATATAGACCCTCCAATCCAGACACTGTATTTTCTCTCTGGAGGTGCTACCACCTTAATCTTCACGCTGCTTGGTGCAAGGGCTGTGATCTCCTTGCTCATTCGATCAGCAATTCCTGGGAACATGGTGGACCCTCCACTCAGCACTATGTTACCATACAAGTCCTTTCTGATGTCAACATCACACTTCATAATTGAGTTGTAAGTGGTCTCATGAATTCCAGGAGACTCCATTCCAATAAATGATGGTTGAAATAGGACCTCGGGGCAACGGAATCGCTCTGCTCCAATCGTAATTACCTGACCATCAGGTAGCTCATAGCTCTTCTCAATTGATGAGCTGGTTTTAGCAGTTTCAAGTTCCTGTTCATAATCAAGTGCCACATAGGCAAGTTTCTCCTTAATATCACGTACAATTTCCCGTTCAGCAGTTGTAGTAAAAGTGTACCCTCTCTCAGTCAGGATCTTCATTAAGGCATCTGTTAAATCTCTTCCAGCGAGGTCAAGCCGGAGGATGGCATGCGGAAGCGCATAACCTTCGTAGATGGGAACTGTGTGACTGACTCCATCACCAGAGTCCAGCACAATACCTGGGAAATGTTTCGTTGATTAAAAGGTAATGAACTTTCAAAATATTAAAACTTTTCTTCGAAATTTATTACTTTGTATGCACTTGGTGGCAGAATTATAACAATTTAAATAGATAGATCACTCCCAGTTTTTTGAATTGGTACGAACCTGTAGTACGCCCACTAGCATAGAGGGAGAGAACTGCTTGAATGGCAACATACATAGCAGGGACATTGAAGGTCTCAAACATGATCTGAGTCATCTTTTCCCTGTTTGCCTTAGGATTCAGGGGTGCCTCAGTAAGAAGCACAGGATGTTCTTCAGGAGCCACACGAAGCTCATTGTAGAAAGTATGATGCCAGATCTTTTCCATGTCATCCCAGTTGCTAACAATCCCATGTTCAATAGGGTATTTTAGTGTGAGAATACCTCTTTTGGACTGGGCCTCATCTCCAACATAGGCATCTTTCTGTCCCATCCCCACCATAACACCTGTGTGTCTAGGTCGACCAACAATACTGGGGAAGACAGCCCTTGGAGCATCATCTCCGGCAAATCCAGCCTGTTCAAGGAGGTCATAAGGAATGGTAAATACCAAGGGAGTTTTTGTATGCTAAGATGGATTTTCCTACATTGCTAGACCAAATGAAGCTATGGCCTTACCTTAACCATTCCAGTTCCATTATCACAGACAAGAGGCTGAATGTCATCGGTCTCTGCCATTCTTTATGGTAACACTGCAAAAAAATCTGTTAGAAACCTAAGAAGCATACTTCAATTCAACAACCACGAATCGCCTCTATCCTCATAATGCATATAGTTAGATCATAATAACTCTGTTTTGGTCTAGGATGTTGGAGTGTCTACATTAATATAATAAACAAGCATATTATAATACTTGAAACAGGAATTCATTTGGAGATAGCAATATTTCACAACTTGAAGAAATCTGCAAGACTTAGACAGCAACAAAAACAGGCCAAGAAAATACACATAATTTCAAAGATTGCATCCAGCACACATGCCAACTTTTGTTCAGAAACAGCATGGCTAATCTTTGTTCATGAAGAGAGGTATAATTTATAGGCACGCACTTAATCCAACCATGAGGATCGCATAAATAAAAGATCCCGCTTTTAACTGATATACATGCAGCCAACAATAAAAAACTTGATAAGAAGAGAAATGGGATTTTGAATTTCCTATTGTCCTAAAACGTTGCTAACTATACAAAATCAAAACTTGATCAATGATCATGCTTGGAGGTTGTGATATGATACCCTGATGGGCTGATGCCATCGAAATTTAGAACCCATCTGATCAAATCAATCAAACCACTCAGACAAAAATCAGAAATTACATCAAAGTTGGTCACTCCCAACCAGTGACTGAGTGATCAAAATCAACAGCCAGAAACAATCACTCAACCAATTTATCAAACACCAGAAATTCAAATTGAGCTCGGATAGATTAATTAACACAAGACTAAAAATATTAAAACACAGCAGGAAATCGGATGCAGAGCACACAGAAATGATCACTTGAACTTACACGGGGGAAAAAAAGGGAGCAAATAAATTGAAGAGAATTAAAATAAAAAAATGGTTTCTTGGTAAGAAGCATATCACCTTGGGAGTTTTGCTCGATGAGGATGGAGAAGTCACAGCAGAACAGAGAAGGCGTGCAGATGAAAACAAGGAGGCAGAGAGTGAAGAGACAGACGACTAATAATGGAAGAAAGAAAGAAGGTCGGTGTAGATTCTGCTTTACGATTAGACAAACAAACAAAGATGATAATAAATAAAAAGGAAGGAAATTTTTACCAAACTGCACTGCAAAGTGTTGGACGGTGGAGCCGCCAATGAACTTTCCAGAATGTAATTTTCAGAAAATACGATAAAAATATGAATAAAGGGTTAAAAAAAAGATAAAAAAGGACGGGGACAGCTGGAAATTTGACTCGTTTCTCTGCTGCTTATGGTGAAGGGCGGGCTGACACCAATGCAAAGCTGAAAGCGCCACGCGGTGATGCTATGAGAGGAAAAAAGGTTCATTTCCGAAGTTTGCGGTGTTGTGTCCAAAATCTCCTTCAGACAATTAAATAGAATCTGAAAGGGATTATTTTCACAGTGTAACAATATTAAACTGGTTTTTATTTTTCTTTTAAATTTGATTATTATTATTATTATTCACACCAACAATCCACCACCGGAATTCATGCCAATCTCCTATGAATTGGAGGAAAAAAAATGTACTTACGTAAAAATAATTCCACACTTGCAGCAACAATTGCATTTACAATAGTTTTTTTTGTTTCTTTGGAGAGGTAATGAAACTCAAAGAAATACAAAGATAAAATATAAAAATTGATCAGATAAAAACTAATTGATAATCAAAACGACGACACAGCGGGAAACGGCACAAGGGGCACGAGCGATGACTAGGACAGGTTTCGAGCCACTTCTCAATGCAGTTGACATGAAAAATATGAGAGCAGGGCAAGTGAAGAAGCCGATTCCCATTCGTACCGCTCTCAAATTCCTCCCTACAAATCGCACACATCGTCTCTCCCCTAATCTGCGGTCGTTCCATTCTCTGCTTCTTATTCTTCGTCATTACTAGGCTCACCACATGGGGCAAACATTCCGACTTCTTCGCCTTAAAACAAGCCAAAAACGACCCAATGATGCTATTCTTCGTCATTACTAGGCTCACCACATGGGGCAAACATTCTGACTTCTTCGCCTTAAAACAAGCCAAAAACGACCCAATGATGTGCTCGTGTTTGAACTCCGGGATTTCCATGGCGGCCAGGGCGTCGGTTATCAGGCTAATTGAATCGGAAGCGGAATTTGTGCCGTGACTTTCTTCAAATACTAATAATAAATCGACGCGAGAGAGCGTAATGTCGATTTCGGAGTCAAAGCGTGGCGGCTCACGACTGACGTTGACTGGAACGTCGTCTTCGTCTGTCCAAACCGTTTCGGTTTCCTTGAAGAGCTTGAATTTGAGATGATACTGATCTTCGACGGGAATTGGATGATTTGTTTGCATTGTGAATGATTGAAACCGTGGGAAATTAAGAAGCTGAAACTCTGAAATTGATCGGGACAGTGGAAAAAGTTGGGCTGATTGAGAGTTCCCTTATGATATTTATACTAATTTTTCAGTTCTCCTAATCGATTTAGGATTAGCTAGGTCGGTGGGATGCTAATTCAAAATTTGGCTGGTGGTGGTACAACGGTCTCCTAGTTATAGTCGGCAAGTTGTTTTTTGGGCTTTTATTTGTGGGCTTTGGCCTGTTCTTAAATTTGGGCTTTCTTTTTGTACCCTCTGCTCTTGCCGTAAGTCTACTTTTATTTTTTATTTTTAAATAACAGACTCACTGTCCCAACCAACTGACCTAACTCATGTCTACTAAAAACATAAATGATAGAATACCTCAATTGGATGTTTAGATTAGAGGTGCGCTGATTCGAATCGGGGACCAATTGGATTGTGAATTTGTGATTGTATCATAAATTCCAAGAGGGCAACGAAGACTGTAATTTTTTTATTAATTACTTTTGTGCTTACAAAATATAAATAGGTTATTAAAGAAATTTACAAACATGTGGCCGGGCCAGCCTCACCCAAAAGAAAGCCCAGTGGAGTTTGAATTGGGCCAGTCAGCCCTTTTTTGTCGGCCTCGATCGACCCAATAGTATAATCCTACGACTGCACGCTGATGGAGCTGATAATGTCGTCCAAAAGAGAAAAACGACGTCAAAATCGAACTGCAAATGCACGTGAGCAGCACGTGACATTGATGAAAGAAAGAGGGTTTTCAGCTCCCTAAACCCATTGATCTAATTCCAATTTTCCAGTGAAAAGCAG